ACTGATTTGAAGTCAAGACAATACAAAATTGTTATCTCTATTAGTTCTGTTGGAGAAGCAAAAGACCGTGTCAGGTTAAGAACTGCGAGCGGTGGCTTACAAAGACGGGTGACGGGAATGGAGTGCCTCAACGGAATGCATCATTACATGGCAGTACAAGTCGGAGGGCTGTAGTTTGCGATTTGGTGACGCCATAGGAGGTGAGAGTGGATAGTTCAGATTTTCGTGGTTTCAGTTACTCCCTCTTCTTGAGCGTGCTCAGGGTTTCTAGGTACCCGCATATCGCGTATCAATGTTTGAAATGTTCTTTCGTTGGAGTAAGATTGACAGATGTCCCGTATGGATTATACGAAAATCCTGTTCGAAGGAGCCGTTGGGCCCAGAATCCGGTCTTGAACGGATCTTGCTTCATTGCAAATCTTGCTCCACCAGCTACAAATGATGGATGCCCGACCCAGAACTGATTGGTGACCCGCAGACATATCAATGGCAGATGCAAATTTCCCTCGAAGATGAAAACGGTGTTCGAAGGCGGGAAACAACATTGATTTCGGGGAAGAGCATGCAAGGCCTACGGTACGAATGGGTACCCCTCACGCAGCCTTCAGCAAGCTTTCACCACGCGTGGTCTCCTAGACTGTTAGTCAGAGGAATTGAGGGGCCTTGAGGGTGAATGTAGCTGTGCGGAGACCAAAGGGGACGTCGGAAATTCGTGTCTTGAAGAAAACATCGGAAGAACGACAGAAATATATCGTTGTTAACGTGGAGGTACCAAGAACAACAACAATACTTTCACAGATCTACTGTATAGTCGCCAAGACCATATTACTTTGACCAAACTGAATCTCCGACGACGTCTATGTGGTGCGTCCTGTCTTGGGCGATGGGGATACAATGTGAACCAAGACCACATACATGTGGTAAAGCTGTCTGTGAGAGTTCCTCTTGGCAACTGCGCGCGTCAATAAGCATTGTATCTATCTTCGATTCTTAGCAGCGTTCGTGAAAATTAAAAGTGAGGCAGTTCATCGTACCCAATACTTGAGTACGGGGAGCACGGCGTTTTCCTCGCCCATAACCCCGCGGACATCTAAAAATAAGAACCGCGGCTCTTTCCCTTCACACGATGTTCGTCTCCCCGGTTCACCGTGAGTGCTCGACGACAGCACTCGCTGCTGCCAGAGACTCAGCACGTTCTGATCCATCTGAGAAATAGAGAATATTTAGAGGAGACATGGACGTGGGTTGTGGGCTCGTTTCAGTCAACGATGGACGGACTTCCAGGCACGGCCGGGGAGAAGGGGGCTTAGGGTCTGGCTGCTAGACGCATGCATCGTGGCGCAGGTTCTACTGTTTCGGTGTGAATTTCCCTGGATTTACACGAATACCTACGATGTTCGGCCAAGACGTGCGCGAAACAAGGCCTGCCCGTGCAAGCCGAATCCACAAGACACACTTCTACGCCCCTTTCGGGAAGCCGTACCTTGCATACGACGCCTCCAGTACGGCGTCCATCCTGGCGACTATTGTTCCCTTCAGCTCTCTCCCACTCCGCCCAGAGAATGTTCCCACCAAACGCCCCTCCCAGCTCCTGGCACCCCCCAGATCCTACCCGACATTCTGAGCCCGGCGCGGCAGCTGCCACGCTCTTGGCAACGACACCAAAACGTGCGAATACCAGCGATATAAGTGTTCGCAGAGAAAAGGGATTGCCAACGTCTACATTTGGAAGTCTTGGGGCTGAGATGATCTCCACTGATGGACGGATTTCTTCTACGCCCCACTCCGTGAACCCTTCTGGTATGGCTCGAAGGCTGTCTCCGGAAAAGGGATCGAACGACGTCGACAATACCATCAGAGGGGGGTCCGGCGACGTCACAACCGGCCGAATATGGGTGCTTCCACCCTTGCCAGCTGGTTGACTGAGTAGCCCGGAGACGGATTCCGGTGTTAGTCGAGGCTTGTCGCCTTCTTTCGTCTTGTCATCATGACTCTCACTGCGCCAGCTTTTTGAAGGACTGTCTTCGTTGCCGCAGTGGCAACTGCTGTCGGCCTTGAGCGTCCAGTTTCGAAGTTCGTCACGACGACATCGCGGCTTCAGCACTTTTGCGAGTTCCGCTACCATCACCCCGGCAACTGCAGAGCGAGCTACGCCGAAGCAGCGGTCCTTGGGGTCCCAAGCTTCGCCCCCAATTTCGTCCCTGCAGCAGTTTCCAGGGGTTGAACAAGAGGCTCGTCGAGCTCGGCGGTCTCGTGATGGCACCGCCTCGACACTAGAGCTGGTGCGGCGTTCGGTCATTTCCTTGACCCCTCCGTGGGAACTGCAGATGAGGCAACTCGTGCGGCATGGGGCCATTACCTAAATGTTTCAAAAAGAGTGCACGGCACGAACCACAGGTCGCTTTTCGTCGGGATTCGGTCTTAATGCAGTAAGCGACAAACGACGTCTTGCGCCGAAAAGGAACTTATCCCGATGGCGACGAACACGCAGGACGCACAAGTATTCGAAAATTCTCAACGGCGCCTCGACAAAATGATCACACTCAAACGCCAGAAGACTTTCCCTCCGCGTACCGAATGTTTGCGATTCTTCTCTTCACTCACCTCGACCCCTGCACCTCCCTCGCCTCCGCTACCGGCCCATCCCCAAACCAGCGGCTTGCTGTGCAAAGTGCACTTGTGAGACACGAATCGTACCAGAGCTTCGCAGTCTCCCGCCATTCCCCCCGCCCCATCTGCAGTACCTCCTCCCCGCCCCCTTCTTCCTTCCCCCGCAATCCCGCGACCAGCACAGACAACAACAGCATCTATTCCTTCCCACAGATCAATTTCTGTGTCCGTGTCTTGAACCGCACCGCCAAAAGCGGACATGCGCGAACCACCAGGGCCGATGTGCCCCGATACAAGCTCGCGAAGTACTGCCGCACGGCCCTGGATGACGTCACACTCTGATGACGCAATTATCGGGGCCGGGTCAAGTTGGAGTGGTTTGCTATATGTAGGCTGCCAAGAAGGGCGCGCGTTTTGTGCATGCTGTGCGCCGTCAAGAGTGGGGGGGTTCCGATTGCAACAATCACAACAGCACAGCAAAGACCAAGCGAACAACCGAAAACACGTCTCAATACGTTTCCACAACATTTGATCATTCACTGTCCTCAGGTCCGGTTCGTAGCTAGGAAGACTTCAAATGGGCTCTGAGGCTATGGGGTTTCATGAACTAGCCAGTGCCTCCGGACCGAAGTCTAAAGGTTATCCCGATGGAAGCCCAAAGACCTCCAACGAAAACGATTCGCGTGTTTGTTTTTGGTGTATACGACCAATTAGCGACGCGGGTGCTCTGTTTGCCAGGGTGACAGCCTCTCGACAACTACCGTCGATACATTGTCAAGTCCTAAACCCGAAACATTATCCCTCACCGGCGTGAAAAGGCGTTGTGCCCGGCGACGAAGATGCATAGATCGAATAATCATCTTCATGGTCAATGAACACCATCCGGCCTCGAGGATTTGTGCACGCGCCCGTGTGTAGCAAGCACCTCGCTACATCCCTTCCGAGGCGTCCGCACCCGATCACAGCGATACGAGCACTCGCGAACTTGTTGCTCAGGTCGGTGCCGAGCCAGGCTTGCAAGGGAAGCGGATCTGTTGCTATTGCTGCGGCGCGTCGGGTACACAAATATCGAAAAAGCCGATCACGCTTTTTGGGAACAACCCTATTGAACTGATGGCGAGGCTCTTGTCATTGCCCAAAAAATAGACTAATATAGCAACGACGATCTCATCTATGACCATAATGGTACACCCGTTCGATGTCTTCAACCACGCCAATGTCCGCGGAGAGCAGAAACCGCATTGAACAACCTTAACGGCGGTGTGACCACCCACACCGTGTGCTTGTTCAGACTCACCCTTCGCACAGCCCATCCATTCCACAGTCCTCCCCTGATCCCTTCCGCTCAGACCAGAGTCTAGCTCATCAACAAGAAGCCACTGACTCGCCGGCTCTTCTCCTGGTGCAGGCGGATGCTCCTTAGTGGTCCGTGCGTTGTTCCCTCCTGATGGACCCTCGAGATTGCCGCGTGAACATTCTCGGGGGCGGTACGCCTGTACGAGGTCTAAAGCAGTTGCTGCCACTAAGCCACCGAGCTGAAAGCTTACCGAAGGGACCGGGACACGCGAGATGCCAGCCACTCTGCGGCAGAGCGCGACGTCGATCGACCCTGGCTGCGGTGAGAAGCCAGCTGGAACCTGAGGTCAGCCGTTGAAATATGAGAAGAAGGACAACGTTAGTTTTCGTAACGTTTTCGTTTCGCATGCGATGGAAATCCAGAAACAGGGATAGGTTAGTAATTCAGATAGACCTGTGCGTATGTGATACTGAGCAATACTGCGTGAACGAGTCTTTGGCACCGGCCATTGTTGGGTGCAACACTGTTGTGGTAGCGGCTCGTCTCGGCATTAATACCCTATGTTTTCGTTTGAGCGTTATACGATACTGCAAACCAACCTGCACTCAGCATTTTGTTGTTGTCGTCCCTTGGATGAGAACGACCTTTCGCTCAACACTCGCTGCTACTCCTACTCTACTCGGGTGCCCTTTTTCTACTACGCATATCTACGTCCAGCTGCTTGCTCTGATCGTGAACACAAATGTTTGCTCGTTTTGGCATGCCATGACTTGAGGGTGCTGATTTTCCCTACTTCTCTCGTTTTGGAGCACTTCAGGAATTCCAGATATGAGACGAAACTACATGTAGCGTCCACAAGAATGGGAGTGCCCACGGGAGACGAACTACTGGCGGTTTTCGTAAATCGGCAGCAATAGCCTTTTGCTCATGACCTCCTCTCACGTCTCGCCCGATTTCAAGGAGTTCCTCAGCGATGCGCACGACCTCATTAGCTTGGTCTCGATCAAGCGCTATCGGTAGATGCCCGTGTTCCTGCCAGAATACATGCAGCGCTGCAAAGCAGAGGTGCAACTGGACGTGCCGGCAGAATAGGCGCGCTTCCTCGGCCGCCAACCTCTCAAATTTTGTTTGCTGAAGTTCGTACTCGGACGCCGACAATAGCCCCGACGTCACCGATTCGCGCGCACTCAAACTACCTTGACAAGGTCGCAGGTGCATGGCTGCCCCGCTGTCGCGGCGTGCTTTATGCAACACCGGTGGTGTTGGGGCCCTTGACGGCACGGCATCAACACTGTTGCTGCTGGTGCAGGTGTTGGCATGTGCACGAAAACGTGGATTGAGTAGAGCTTCCCGAAGGCTACGCGAAGAAGGTCGCCCGAGGTCTTGGAAAAATCGACCAGTCGCCCCACGGGCTTCTGCCAACAGAAACCCACAGCCCACTGCGCGAGCCTGAACGAACGCCGCCGCGAAAGCCACGAAAGGGAAAGGTTAATTTTGTGGCAGGTCAATTCGTTCCAAAGGCCACATCACTATGAACTCTTTCTTGAAGCCAAAAACCAAAGTTGATCTCTAACCCGTTGATAAAACAAGTCGACGGTACCGTCACGATGGATTAATGCAAGTGTTAGAGTAATAGTCCTGTAGAAATTTCCTGCAGCGGTTGTCTGCATCTTTGTTTTACAGCGGTGCTTCCGTATGGGTACCAGGTCCGTCAACCGCCTGGCGGCAGGGGTCCTCTGAACGAAAGTCTCAGACTCACACAGGCCCAGTACCCAGGGCCATTCAATCTTCACTCTTATCAAGGCCAATAAAGCTGCCTCCAGGATTTAATCTATGGAATTACAGTGTCTACTGCAGAACTGATGGCTGTTGCATTGTAGATGAATGTCTTCGACCTTCCATGCGTGTGCGTGCAGTGCGTGGTGCCTACTGTATAAGCATAAGTCTAGCCTCCTATCATAATATGTAGACTAAGTAAGAAACCAGTTTCGGGGAAAGTGATCCCAGGCTGTCCGAAGGTTGACCGCCTTCTCAATATTCTACGGGATTGTACTACTGTACTGTTGTTGTGTGCTGTGTGTGTTGTGACACTCACGTGCTCGTTGAAGGCTATTGCGTGGGGCAACGCAGGGTCTGTCATCACCACGACCTGAAATCGCTCAACAATGGAGGCGTCGCCGACTGGAGATATGACCCGAACACTCTGCTTGCTCAGAGATGTCAGCAACGCAGCCATATACTGAGAACGCGTTACCGCCTTCCTGGCTCCCCCACGGGCAGCAGGGGTAGCACCAGCAGCTGCAGCGTTCGGTCCATTCCGGCGATACCCTTCAAGGATGCAGGACGCGGCCATCCGCCGCCAGTCGGCGTTGGCGGGTGCATCATCCCCAAGGCACACACTGCATTCGCCAGACTCGGCGAGCGCGAGGGCTACTTCTATCCCTGTTGGTCCTTGCCCAATAACCAACAAGGATGGCCGGACATCAACGTTCCCGACATGTTCGATCATATCTTCAGAGAGATTGGGGTCCGGGATATGTTTTGCCCGCGTCCGATCAAGCGGGCAAGCTGTAGGTTACCCCACCAGATCTGAGCAGCCTTGAGGGATTCCCGGCTCGTGCAGCATTCGTACCAGCAAGATAAGCAGACTCTCCGCCCAAGTCAGAGTTGTGGGGAATGGTTCTTTCTTTCTTCTTGGGGTCACATCCACAACTTGTCGCGTCCAAGTCGCATCTGTCGCTGGTCGCATCCAAGTCCCATCTCTGCCCATCTTGTCTGGGGGGCCTGGATCTGTCTTTTTACATGCATCTGTGCAGGTGGGGTACTTGCCAGCTATCTGCCTCACAGCTATCTGCCGACCCCCGTTTTGGGGGGCATCTTGGGGCATCATGCTCCATCTTCACTGACTTGTTGCAGCCTGCACGAGCTCAAAGCCCGCACGGGATGGGAGAGAGACGCGTGAATCCGCCATTGGACGATGACGGCTACGAAAGTGTGGAGAGCATGGGTTCTGAAGATGAGTTTGACGATAACCAATACGGCACGATGGTGAGTACAGCAGCAAGTGTATGCAGATGTACAGAGTAATCCGTGGACTGCTCCCCGTAATTGCGTATTTGCCGTATCCAATCGAGGTGTTTCTGCTGTGGTTCAACCTATACCTCTGCGAAGCTCTCCAACTGCGAAGCTGCTTGTATGCCTCGGAAGCTGACACGGTCTGATTAGGGTAAAGTCCTTAGCGTCTGCTATCGCTGTTGATACGCGGTCCGCTGCTGCTACTGTCTTTGTTCGCACAACAGCCCGTTACACATGTCGTCGAGATTCATTCGCTGCCGTTGTTGCAGGCCAGGTTCGTTCCGACCTTGGTGCTAGAGAGACTCCGAGCTGTTGGGCAAGCTGCTGCCGTGCCCAAAAAGTCGATCTCGGGAGGCGTGGACGCAGCGGTAGCGGCGGACGACGCAGTGGAAGACATCAACTCGCCGAAGGTAGGTAGAGCGCGTGCCCACTACCGCTATGTAGGTTTGCCGATGTTGCATCGCCGACAACTTGCCAAGAAGAACGTTCCGTCTCGATGTAGAAGTCGGCCGGTGTTATATTCGCTTTGTCGGGGAGCCTTTCATTGCTCTTGTACGAAAGGGTGGCCTCCATGTGTGCCAGGCCTCTATCGCTGTAGTGCATGGTTATTCATGCTGTAAAATTGGATGGGCGATTGCCCAATCTCTACGGCAGTGTGTGTTGCTCGACAGCAGTTAGGGGCCCAAACGCACCGCAAGTGTAGTCTGCTGCTGCTGTTGCCTCTGCGTTTCCATGGGATGCAACAAAATAGAGAGATAAGTTTGATGTTTGTGATGCCGCACCACACGAATATTCTTTTGCCTTCACGAGAAAATGCCAGCATCGCTCTTGTTGTGTCGAATTTTCACCTACTGTGTACAGTACGCTTTGTACCAAAGCCTGGTCTTGATGTGTGCGAGCGAGCGAGGCCCCTGTCGCTGTAGCACATACATGGCGATTCACACAGTACATAAGGGTGTACGGTGGCATGATCTCGACGGCGTGTTTGTGACTCGACAGCTGGGTCGTTCGGTCACAACATCGCAATGCTCGAAAGCTATGGTGGGCTCTCCTTGTGCATAGCTGGACACACACAAAATATGTGCCATCTGCAAGGTACACCCCATCCCGCAGCTTGCGTAACGGATGCATCCTTACGACGCTGTGCGAAATGCTAGCCTACACTTTGGGCCTCTCTCGCGTTGCAGCATCCAGAAAAATAGGGATGTAGACTTACGCAAGGGCGTTTGCAAGGCTTGACAGGGTGAAATTGAAGCGCTGTTTATTTACGCTGGGCTCTACATACACGCACTCAAGCCGTTCCGGTATCATGTCGGCACGTATCCACCGGGATTGCGAGAAGTATGCAACAGTTGGACATCCATCTGTGTGGCGATTTCGCGGCCTTGTGCAGGGTGGCCGGACTTGTTTCTGCAGCTTTACATGTATAGGGACAAGCCTGTACCGTAGAATGTAGATGTGCGGGTCATCACACACACCCAGACGGATTGCCTCACAACCACCAGGGTAGCTACTATCTCGACGCGAGTTATGTTTACATCGCCACCGTTTTCGGCATGGACAGCATATTGGTTGTGGGGCAATGATGCTTCGAAACTCAGTCTGGGGTGTGTGAGGGTGGCGGGGCTGGCGCGATGATGGGTGGTCTCGCAACTGATGTCGACGATCTTGCCTGACATCCCTGACGTACCAGGCGCACGAGCTTGACGCTGCCGTGATGGTGGTGGACGTCTCGGGGTTCTCGGGCATGTGCGAACGCTTCGCGCAAGGCTTTGTGCCCGACGGCGGCTGGAGGCAAAGGATGAAGGTGCGGTAACGCTTCCTGCTGTGTAGCTGCTGTGTGGCGGACTGCTGTTGTTTTGTGTGGTTATATCCGCGTTAGCGTAGGCTTCGGGCGAAGGATGCAGGTAAACCTTGCCGCTGTCTAGAATCGATGTGGCGGCTGGTGCTGTTTTGTGCCCTTATTTTTACGTACTGTAGTATAGCGTAGAGGCAAAGCATGAAGGTGCTGCATTGTGTCTAGCTACTGTGCCATGGGAACACGGGGAGTGCTGTTGTTGCGCGGTTAATCTTCGCGCCACAGAAGTGTGTACCCCCCTGATATCCCCA